CATGATATTTATGCCTAGCATAACACTTTAATTATACTATTGTTGGCCCTAGTAAGTGTCAAGTCGACCCCTCGTCACTATTTCTTCGAGGTTAGACTGATACTTACTAGGTAAATATTGTTTATGTACTCATACTACGCTTCTGTACTTAATTGTACAGGATCTGAGGCTGGTGCATCTAGTTACCCGCCCGGTGCGCATACTTGAGCTTGGACTGAGACTTCACAGTGAGATGCCCTCTTCTAGCCGTTCAGCAGCATGACGGAGTTTCTCTTTTGCTTGTATCTGTCTATTCTATTTCAGACAGTAGGATAGTTATCTTTTGTACATTTTACTAGTTGCCCATACACTTATGACACTAGATCTTGGCATGTATTAGTAGACTTTGATTTTTGGATTGTATTTCTATAATTACGACTTATTCTAGTTGTTACCGTTTTGCATTCCTTAAAATCTGTTACTTATCAAATGATTTAAATTCAAGTAAAGTTAGATGTTGAATTGCTTAATAAAAATGAAAAATCACTAAGTTGTTCACTGTTGGCTTGTCCAGCAACGGTGCTGGACGCCATCACGATCAGAGAGAGAAAGTGTGTGTGTATCTTTATTTTATATTATTGGTATTGTTTAACATGTGATAGTAAGTTACTTATATTTTTTATTTTTATTTTTGAGGATTCTATTGTTTATAAAAAAGAATTGTCTTAGATTTTAGGTTCGCAACGGTAAGTGTTACTCGCGTCAAGTGTGTTCACCCAATTTAGTTAAGTTAATAATTTATGTCAAATAGTGACAGATGTAGTGTAAATCTATAAGTTCATCTGAACCCATAACTTTCTATACGGAGTATAAATATATAAGCCAAATACATATATAGCCCTTTAAACTTGGCTCCAGTTTTCATTTAGACACTTCAACTAAGGCCATTACATACTATATACTTTAACTTAATATATTACGTACCTATTAAACACCTCTAAGACAGGTGGCACGATGTGTGATTTGTACCTAAAATTTGGCGTGCGAAGAGGAGATGTTTGGCCTATATTTCTTTCTGTTTTCTTCTTCAAATAATTTATTATTGGAAAATTACATTGTATAGCCGCTCTCAGAATAATAGCCAAAAAATATTTATTTTTGTATATATATACATTTTGTATGTTATATACAAAAATGGCACACTCTTCCTTTCAAACCGGTAAAAAACGGAAGATGTCATTCAGTAATCCCGCGATCGCCGTCTGAACGATCAGAATAAGGTAAAGCTTGAAGGTGTCTTTGGGGCTTGCCTTATAGGTAGTGACTATACCACTTACATATCGAACAGATCTTACTCTCAATGAGCGAAGACGTGTCGAAGTGAAATCCCCTAGTATTATTGAATGTAAATCTGTGCACGAGCATATGTAAACAACTTATTGAATTTCTGAAAGAGTTTTCATAATGCAATACTATTCCGGTTTCAAAGTGAGTTCTTGACCAGTTGAAAAAAATGCTTTGGGTGGGTTCTCGGTGGACTTATATAAATTTTATACACTTTTTTGGCTATGAAATGTAAATAATTTTTGGCGCGGGTTAAAAGTGAAAAAAACACTTTTTATTCTTTTTCTTTCTCCTTCATCTTCTACATCGCTACCTCCATCCACCACAAAATTCTCTTCGTCCCAATTTCATCCCGAGTCTTTTTACAGATTCATCTTATTTCCAATATTGATTAACTTATCAATTCACTTTAAAGAATTACTTACACGCCAAAGAAAGAGTAAAACCCAGAAATGATATATTAAAAGAGGCTGAGATAAATGTTGAAATTCAAACGCGAATTTGCAATAATTTTAAACTTTATTTCTGAATTACCTTTTCGTTTCAGAGACACACCCTAGAATTTTGTAACGACCCGACCGGTCGTTTTGAGCATTTATATCATGTTCAACTATTTAAAGTCTCGGGCAGCTTCGTAATTTGTATTATGACATGTGTGTATCGTCGTTTTTGGTTTTCAGGTGTTTCAGAATTAGTTTGGAAGAATGAATTTCATGTTTAAAGCTTAAGTTGAAAAGGTTGATCGGATGTTGACTTATGTGTGAACGACTCCGTAAAGGTATTTTGATTATTCCAATAGCTTCATATGGTGATTTCGGACTCAGGCGTACGTCTGGATTCGGATTTGAAGGTCCGTAGAATAAATTGAAGCATTTTGGCAAAAGTTGGAAAATGGAATTCGGACGTTTGACTGGGAGTTGACTTTATTGATATCGAGCTCGGATTCCGACTCCGAAATTGGAACATCTCCATTATGTCGTTTATGACTCGTGTGCAAAATTTGAAGTCAGGATTGATTTGATACGTTTCGGCACAAGATATAGAATTTGAAGATTTGAAAAACTCATAAGTTCGATTCGAGGTACAATTTATAATTTCGACGTTGTTTGATGTGATTTGAGGTCTCGAGTAGGTCAGTAATATGTTTTGAGACTTGTTGATATGTTCGGATGGGGTCCCGAGTGACTCGGGTGAGTTTCGGGGTAGTGTCGGAATATTTCTGTTACACCCCGTAAGTTTAACAACATTGACATTGTTATATATATTTGATATGGTATTTTGAGTGGAACTTTTTGTTGTTGTTGTTGTAAAGAAGAAAAAAATGGTTTGAAGAATATGATTTTATATAGTTATCAATATTACCACTTTCGTATATGTTTTAAATTATACACATAATATGAGAAAATTTATGAGATTTTCTTTATTGTAAAGATAGAAATTATTTTCGCACAAGAAAAGAAGATTATTTTATCATTTTAAGAATTAAACGTACAAAAATTTATACTTTGTATATGAGATTAGGAAAATTAAAAGTTGAGAAAATATATATATTTTTACATAGATATTTTAAATAATAGTGTATGTATTTATTTTGTATGGTACTACATGGCCATGATAGTAAGTTATATAATGTGTATTAAAAGCGAGTAGTATTTAAGTAATTTGGGATAATTCTTAATTATTTGGTAAGTGATTAAAGAGTTGGATAAGACTAACCTCCCCCACGTGGCAAGATAAGAGACGTTAGAATTAGTCTTATAACCTGAGTCATACTATTTTTATTGACCCATCTTAAAGCTTTCATTCATTGAGAAAGATAACAGGAATTTTCAATCTTTTGCTTTATTCCTTTTTGCAAATTATTTATTCTTTGTGCTCTTTCTGCACCTTAAATTCTGGTTTTAAGCCTTATGGGCTTGGATTTTGAAAGAATGATCAAGGATGTCGAAACAAAAGGAAGCTGTTAGTTTGCGCACGAGATTCAACTATTAATTATTTGGTCAGCACTAAGCTTTATTAACCAAATATTTTGATTTTGTGGCTTAATCTCTTAGACCCTTGTTTCTAGAAGGTAAGCTATCAGCTAGATTATTTGTTTTCTGCTCTTTGTATACGAGATTCCTGGAATTTTAAGTCGGTTCATGTTTGATGGCCGGGAAAGTATCGTGCAGGAGTATTGTTTGTTAACAATGAAGAAGGAAAATAAGAAATTGGGAAGGTAATGTGTTGTGTGCATGTTGGAATGATGGACACTTATTTGTTGAAAGAGAAACAACGTGTTATAACTTTGAGCGAAACTGTACTTGAATGTCTAGTTAGCTTGTTCTATATTTTGGTCTTCACCCCATTTGCAGGATGCATAAAAAAGGGGGGGGGGGGGGGGGGGGGGTTAAATAAATAAATAAATGCATAAGAAAGAAGGATATCTTTGAAATAAAAAAAAAATAAAAAAAGAGGAAGGATATAGGTTAGGTGGCTAGGAAATCTTTTCATTCATTGTTCTGTGTGCTAGTCTAATTGTTTTTGGGTCATTTATGGGTTATATATATTACGATATTGGAAGAAAAAGTCTGAGATTGGCTAATCAGGTATGTTAAGGCTATCCCTTCTTTTTTTTTGGCATGATCCATATGATACAACGAAACGAGCAAGCACGCAAGTTTCAGAAATGATTCTGTTCTTAGAAGTACTAAGGTTGCCTATGTTCCTGATTCCCCATACGTCCTACTACCATATTGTCTATTCATGGGTCTCATAACATTCCAAGAGATCATATTGACTCACTTCCTTATGCATTGCATTCATTTAACATGTGCATTTACCCATGACTCAGACGGCGTTATATACGCGTATATATATGTATATATATGCATATGGGATATGGGAAAGGTTATGGCGTTATATACGCACCACCACCTGATCAGCTGGTATACGATGATGATTTTGCCCACAGTGGCTGAAATGATATGATGGGATGCCCTCGGAGGCTTGATGATGTTATGAACACATGTACCTATGCACGACATGATATTCATACGCATATGCATGATACTATAAATATTTCATGATTTACAGAGCTATCCAGACTTACAGGTTGAGTCCTTTACTCCATGTTTCTTCCATGTCTTTAATTAATGTTGACTTACTGTTATGTTTCAGTTCTGCCATACATACTCAGTACATTATTCGTACTGATGTCCCGTCCTTTTGTTGGGGATGCTGCATTCATGCCTGTAGGTATAGATAATCAGTTTGATGATCCCTCACAGTAAACGAGATCGGCATTCAGCCAAGGATCGGTAAGACTCCACCTCATTCGGAGTGCAGCCAAGTCTATGAGTCATCGTGTCAGAAGTTTGCTACAGACTTATGGGTAGGACGGTACCCTATCCCATTTGATGTCAGATAATCTTAGAGGCTTTGTAGACAAATGTTCATTTTGTACAGTATGTCAGAGGCCTTGCTGGCCCATATGTATTCATGTTTTAAGAACGATAGTTTATTGATACAGTGTTGCCCACTTATAGTTATGCATTATGAGTTGTGGCCATGTTGGCCCATGATAGTTACAAAAGGAATGAGTTCAACCAACTCGAACTATGTATGTTCTAGTTTTGATCGAATGATTATGAGTTACAGAGTGGTTCGCTCGGGCCAGCTCGGCATCGGGTGCCAGCCACGCCTCCCCAGGTTTGGGGCGTGACAATTTCTATGCCATTTTTAGCTGCTGGTTTTTGGCTACAGCAGTGTGCAGTGCGATCGTATGGAATTGGCCGCGATCGCGATGATTAAAATGGGAAAAAATGGCCAGTGAATCACGATCGCGGAAGGCCTTTCGCGATTGCATAGAGAAATTTCGGTTGCACCGACCTGACTTTGGAAGCTTATATCTTACAATCTATAAGAAATTTAGTGATGATACAAAAACGAAAGTTTTAGCCCTTGATGTCTAGTTTTCAGAAAATCAAACCATTTATCATTTGGAGTTTTGTACCAAAAGTTATGTCTATTACACTACATGCTGTTCGAGAAGAATTTGGGAAGAGTAAAAGAAGTTTGTGCTTCGCGATCGCGGGGAAATGACGGTGATCGCATAGAGTACAAATGTTATGGAAATTTTTGTGCTTCGCGATCGCAAAGAATTTGGGCAGAAGCTTTAAGTTCGGGTTTCGCCATTTTTACCCATTTTTGAATTTTGGAGCTCGGTTTGGGCGACCTTAGAGAGGAATTTTACCACACGACTTGGGGTAAGCAATCTTGACTCACTTGTGATTATATTTCATGAATTAATCTTCATTTTTGGTGTATGATTATTGAATTTTCAAGAGAAATCGGAGGAATTTTCTATAATTCCAAAAAATAAATTTTCGAGTTTTGAATACTGATTCGGAGTCATATTTGAATGAAATTAGTATATTTGGACTCATAATTAAATGGGTTATCGGATTTTTTGAGTTTCATTGGGTTCCGTTATGTGGGCCCCACTGTCGACTTTTTGAGCGGCGTTGGAAATTTTCATAAACTGTTAAATTGTAAGCATTGGAGTATATTTTGATTAATTTGTACGTTGTTTGACTAGTTTCGAATCATTTGGCTTGGAATTGAGGAGATAGGAAGGCGTTCGGAGGATGATACGCGTGGAATGGAATTTCTGGAGCATTGATTAGCTTGCTCGGCATTAGACTCGGCTTGTTCGAGGTAAGTAACATTTTTAAACTTGGAGTTGAGGGTATGAACCCTGAATATTCATGTAAAGAGATTTGTTTGGAGGTGACGCACATGCTAGGTGACGGGCGTGTTGGCGTGCACCATAGAAATTGTGACGTAATTGATTCTATGGAATTGTGTAGTCAGATAATCTTGGCGTTTTCCATGTACTTTCATGTGTTAAAGAAATTGAGCTGAGAATCACGTTAAAAATCATGCTGAGGCTATATGCCGGTATTATTGAGACCCACAGAGGTCATATTGTCGTTGAATTATTTGTTTAAATTGTAATTTCATACTCAGTCATGTTCATTCATTTCATATCGTATCTCTGTCTCTGTCTCTATTTATTGATATATCATATCATCATTTTGAGCTGATTTTTCTGACATTTTTAGCCCGAGGGACTGGAGAGATTGATGACTGAGTGAGACTGAGGGCCTGATTTTGAGGATATTTATGGGATCGGGCTACACGCCGCAGCAGGCCATATTGGCTTTATGCATGTTATTATTATATGGATCGGGCTGCACGCCGCAGTAGGCCTTATAGACTTTATCATCTTGGGATCGAGTTGCATGCCGCAGCAGGCCAGATTGGCATATTATAGCGTTTGGGCAGAAAGAGCCCCTCCGGAGTCTGTACACCCCTAGTGAGCACAGTTGATTTATATTATTAGCACATGAGTTTTCCGTGCAGCACGTCAGTTGTTAGTGCGAATCCATCTATTGATATCGTTAGCACGTGAGTTGTCCGTACGGATCCATCTATTGATATTGTTAGCACGTGAGTTGTCCGTACAGAACGTGAGTTGTCCATGCGGATCCATCTATTGATATTATTAGCACGTGAGTTGTCCGTGCAGTACGTGAGTTGTCTGTGCGGATCCATCTATTGATATTATTAGCACATGAGTCGTCCGTGCAGTACGTGAGTTGATACTATAGCACATGAGTTATCCGTGCAACACGTGAGTTGTCCGTGAGGATTCAGATCTTGATAAGTGAGATTGAGTACTCTGAGCATATGATTACATGAGTTTATCACTACGCTGCATTGCATTAGACATGCATACTTGATATGTAGGCATAGAGTAGTATTTTTCCCTCATTCCATCTGATAATGAAAATTCTTATCTGTTGCTAAAAAATTTGAGATAAATCACAGATTTCAGACTTACTCATATTTTCGGTGATTTCGGCAAAAGATTTAAGTTTTACTGTTATACTTGAAAAGCAAACACCTATTTCCGAAATTGTAAACGAGCTGAGCATTTTATTGTTGAGTTATTACTTGTGTTACTTTCAATATATTGTTATGAACTATTGTTGGTTGTTGGTGTTGAGTTCTGAACTTTGTTTTAGCTCGACACTACTTTCAACCTAAGGTTAGGTTTGTTACTTAGTGAGTACATGAGGTCGGTTGTACTCATACTACACTTCTGCACCTTGCGTGCAGATTTTGGATGTTGATGTTGTTGTACATGGTGGGAGCTAGCATTGAAGATGTACCTGCGATGTAGTCACAACTGCCTCTTATTCATGGTAGCTTCAGAATTTTTGATCTGTTCATGTATATTCAAACAGATGATGTATTTTTATTTCACCAGCTTTATAAATTCTTATCTTAGAAGCTCATGATCTGTAGTACCAGTCCTTGGGGAGTGTATCAGAGTCAGTTAAATATTAATTGAATCGAATTGTTGTTATTTGGTTTACCTAGCGGGTTAGGTTAGGTGCCATCACGGCTGGTTAAATTTTGAATCGTGACAAATTCACTTCAAAGTTAAATTATTTACAAGTCAAAGCATAGCTCAAACTCATTTTGAAGAGAGAAGGCAACAAAAAAAAGGAATTGTTATACAAATAGCCGGTCAGATTCACAGTTTACTTTTTCTAGCTGATATACATAGATTATACTTTAATTATACACAATTCTAAACATATTATACATAAACTTTATATACATTATATATCCACCAACCTTTTTTAGTTTAAAAAATTAGGTGGGTGGCTATTTGTTTTAATTCTTCAAAGAAAAAAAATTCAGCAATTTCAGAACACAAACAGCTCTTTTACCAAAACTAACCAAGTCAATTTCAACCCTCTTTTCTTTCAGATTTATATATGCTAGTTGCTTCTTGTGCTTAAATATCTCTCATGGCCTGAACAGTGTCTATATTTGCAATACAGGGCAAAATGCAGTGGCTATTTAGGCAAACTTCCCAAATAGAGATCATCATGCTAGTATCATTAAGTTTAAGGGTGAGTGTGCAAAATTCGAAAGAATGGGGTTAATGTGATTGAAGTATAATTTTGAAGGACAGAATGATTAACTACCAAAAATAGATTGAAACATTTTGTTAAAGACAATACTAGTTCATTTCTATCTTAGGTATATAAGCTAAATACACATCTAAATATTAAGACGCGTTAATAGATTAAGACGTATGAATCTTACTGATTAAAATTCAGACATAAAAATAAATATATTTAATGATTAAGATATAAATCATTAAGATTTAGACATTCATCAAACGCAAACAAATGAGGTTTTAGTACTAACAATGGATGATAAAAATTGATCGACAGAAATTTTAAACAGACCATTCGACATGGCTCAGTTAATACAAGTCTTTATTAATATAGGTGACGGACACTTATAATTATTTATTTTGAGCGAACGGAGACATCAAACATGTGAATATTAGACAAGTTGAACAAGGTACTCCTCCGCAGTAGTGTACTTGACATCTGGATAAAGTTCTGAGGCCTCAACCCCAAACGCTGGCTCAATCTCAAAATTGGTTAGATCGCCCTTTACAAATGTTAAGTGGTTAAGTGCCAACGCGACATTGACCGGAAAAGGAGATGCTGCAACAATATACAATATACAATGTTATAATTAATTACCGATGCTTAATTGAAAAAAAAAAAACTTGATTTGAGAATAAGATTACTGACTATTGATATCTTTGAGAATTTGCTCCTCTGAAATGTAGATTTTCTCTAGAGTTTTCCCAATCATTTTCTCCCACATAGCCACTAACTCATTGAACGATAATGTGTTTTTGGGAGGCTTAATATAGAGGGTTTTGTTCAAAGTTCTCGGGTCATCAACTGCTTTAATAGTGTAGGTGCCAATATCATGTTCCTCATTGAATACAGCTGCAAACAAAAAAAAAAACAAAAAAAAAAGGAAGAATAAAGCAAGAAAAATATACAAACAAGAGACATTTTGCCATGAACTTGTTTTATTTTAAAATCAATAGAGTCGCCACCTAACATTGGTGGGCACGAATAAGCTATGTTACTTAAACTCCCCGAAAATATTAGTCGATGCGTAACTCGGGGCAGATGTACAATTATAGATAGTGGTGATGCCAGAAATTTTACAAAGGGTATTCAAAGTTTAAAATATATCTATAATAAGTAATTTTTGACCTATATATATAGTACTCCCTCCGTTCCAATTTATGTGAACCTGTTTGCTGGGCACGGAGTTTAAGAAAAAATGAAGACTTTTGGAATTTGTGGTCCTAAACAAGTTAAAAAGAGGCCCAGAGTATTTGTGTGGTTATAAAAGCTTCTCATTAAGGGTAGAATTGTAAGTTTAAGCTAAATTGCTTCCAAATTTAGAAAGGGGTAATTCTTTTTTGAACGGACCAAAAAGGAAATAGGTTCACATAAACTGGAACGGAGGGAGTAATTTTTTATATACTTAGTGTAATTTTACAATGAAGGGTGTTCAACTACGCCACTGATTGCAGTCACGTTCAACTGAACACATAACTTTCAGCACGAATCATAAATTTATGACTAAAACTTCACTGAAATTGTAATAAATAGTAGACATGAATTCATAACTTATAAAATATAACGGGTTCAATGCTAAAAATCTTAAAAGGTGAACCCATAAAGTTGAAATCCTTGATTCGCCTCTCACATTATAAGGGATCCTCCAAAATTAGTGCATTTTTTGATGATCCGACACGGATGTGACGGTATTTTAGAGAGTCCGTATAATATAGTGGATAAGGAAGTTGTTTTTCTACATACCTTTAACATTTCCATCTCCAGGAATGATGATTTTGTCTCTAGGGGGAGCAGTGGCTTCTAGTTGGACCAAATTTGCTAAGAAAAAACCATCAAAACAGTCACTTGAGACATAAGTATAAGGAATTCCTTCAGCCTCAATAGCTCTGCGAATTTGGGCTTTTGCATCAACTAAAGACTTTACTGGTTCCACAGTATTGGCCTTATCAACATCCATACCAAACTCTGAAGGGAAGAATCTCTGAAAATTTTAAATAAGAATATTTAACCCCATAAACATTATGTAATTTAATATAAATGTGAAAAACTACTAAACTTTCAACAAGTATTAAATTCTCAACCCATGAAATTCAAAATTTAGTGAATTCAATAGTAATAAAACGTTAAATCCATCAAATTTATATTCTGAATCCGTATATAGCGAACCAACCTTAATATTGCCAGCTTCTTTGATAGCAGCAATGATCTTGTCTTGATCAGCCAATTGCATATGACCTACTGCTGATATTACCACATCCACTTGCTTTATAGCCTTTACTAAACTCTCATGATCATATAAATCACCCTGTTCAAAACAAGAAATTAAAATATACTTATATGTAGGGCTGTCAAATTTGGCCCAAGCCCAAATGATTCGCCCAATTCATTTAAGGTTGGGCTGGTTAATGACCCGTTCATATTTTGAACCCAGCCTATCTTGACCCAATTCATCTCAACTCATTTAAAGTTGGGCTGATTTTTAGCCCAAATTGACCCATGAGTAACTTTGCCAAAATATCTTAGAAATAATTTGTTTTTGTTTGATATGTTATAGTAATGATCATAACAAAAGAAGAAAAAAAAATCTTAGTAATTATACAATTTATAAAATAAAATAAAAACATATTTAAGTAAAGCTTGATAACAGTTGGGCGGGTTTGGCTATGACCCAAATTTTAACACATCTTGACCCAACCCATTTTTTTCAAGTAAATTTTGGGCGGGTCATTTGACCAGCCCAATTATTGACTCAACCCAATTTGACCCGCCCAAAATCAACCCAACTCGCCCATTTGACACCCCTGCTTACATGTAAAATTTATTTCAATCCTTTTCCCTTATTTTGTTTTGCATAATACCAGGAAAGAATTAATGCACCATATCATATATATTTACATATACATACATGAAGAATAGTGACACCCAAATTCCTGAAACTCTCAACAAGTTTAGCCTCAACAGGGTCAGAAAGTAGTGTGCTTTCTCTAACCAAAGCAAATGTGGGGTGTCCAGCTTTTGCACTTGCTTCCACTAAATATTTTCCAATACATCCAGTTGCTCCAATGATCAGAATTTTGCTTTTCTCAGCCATTTGATCAAAGGTAAAAGTTGAAATCAAGAACCTTCTCAAGAATTTGGCTGTGGCATTAAGCATAGTGAGGCTAACATCATTTTATGTACTGAGCTATAGGGAATTGTAATCACCAAAATGACCTCCGATTGTTCCAACTAACGGTCTCACAAAATGTATTTTTAAGCAAATAAAATTGAAGGACAAACGTAATGGTTTGATTGGATATGCAAAAACTCCAAAATTATTTGGTTATGGTTCTCTCTTTTTAGGGTAAGGGAAAGCTATAGTTGTATGAAAGGAGAGTTGGTAAGGCAGGGGCAAAGCTACACTATGGTAAGGGTAGTCAATTGACCATCCTTCGTCGGAAAATTACGCTGCGTATATAAATAAAATATTAGGTTTTAAAGGTATATAACATATATTGAACACCATTTGTCATAATTTTTTTTACTTCTTTCAAGTTTGAACACCCTTAGAGAAATTTCTGGCTTCGCCCATGTGGTAAGGTAAAAGGTCATACATGGAATTGCTAATTTGGTATAATTAATCATTCAATAAAAGTTATGGCATCATTTATAAAGTACTTGAATTGTGGTGATGACACTGAGTGATGTTGCGAGAAATGGAAATATGTGAATTTGATTATCACATCTAGAGTACCATTATTTAGAAACTCCACTAAATTAAACCATGATCTCGACTCTCTTTTTTTTTTTTTGTTGAATATGAGTGGCTCGAGATTAGCAATATCATGGAACAAAATCTTACAATTACAACACTAAATTCGGTGTAATTTCACAAGCAAGGTCTAGAAAGAGTAGTATGTATAGAGATATTATTTTTACGTTATGAAAGTAGAGAGGCCGTTTTCGATAGACTCTCGGCTCAAGAGAAAAGAAAAAACAAGCAGTAGCAACAGCAAAATAAGATATAAGATAACCAAATCAAAAGAAACAACATGTAGTAGCAGAAATCTAAGAATAAAAAAAATACGACAATAATACTAATACTACTAATACTACTAATATTGGAAAGAGATACACCCGACTACTTACTAACATTTTACCCTAATTCTCGACCTCCACCCTTGGCATGCAACAAAATGTTACAGTGTAGAAATTGCCTCTGCACCAAGTGCTTAAACTTCGTGACAATCACAAACGATCAGATAATTAATTGGAGCTCGATGGGAGTAGAAAATGTCGATATTGCTGAAATTAAACTGTAAAAATTGCACTAGTTTCCTATTTGGTCGCCCCATTGAACTTGTATTCATTTTTTAATTTTTTTATTTATTTGTATTCACTGTTTAAATAACTTTAGCCATTTTTTTTCTCTTTCTTCTTCTTCTTCTTCTTCTTCTTCTTCTTCTTCTTCGGGTAACAATGATTTTATATGGTGTTTGTGAACATATTTTAAGATAGTTTATTATGTTTTATAGGTCTGAGCTGTTGTGGCGCTTTATTTTTTAATATTGTTTAGGGTTTCTTCTTTTCTTCTTCTTAATTGCAAAATAATTTCGTTAGATTTATTGTTGTTTTGGCAAATTGATGATTGGGGTTTGTTCTTGATGATATTTGGAGGTTGTGTTTCAAATTTGAGCTTATTTGGAGTAAATTACATTTAGGTATTAAATCATGTATTGAATTGTTAAAATTTGAAAAATAAATTTCTGTTTCTAGACAATTTGCACTTAAAGCCTATTTGGCCTTAAGTGCACGAAAATATCGGTTCACTTTAGACCTTTTGGCCTTGTGCATCTGAAGTGTCATTTTTTCGCTTCAAACTTAGTAGCCTATAAGTGCATGAAACCATTGGTTGAACTTCAGACCTATTTGGCCTTAAGTGCATCTGAAGTACAATTTTTCACTTCAAACTTATGGCCTTAAGTGTAGGAAATCGTTTGTTGCACTTCAGACCTTTTGGCCTTAAGTGCATCTGAAGTGCAATTTTTCACTTTAGACTTATTGGCCGAAAGTACATGAAACCATTGGTTGCACTTCAGACTTATTGACCTTAAGTGAAGTTAGGGGTGTGCATTCGAATCGGTTTTATCGATAAATAGAAACGATTATTTGTTATCGAAATCGAAATCGAAAAAATCGAAACCTTATTGAAACGATAACGATAAGCATATGTACAAATCGATAATCGATAAGTAATTATCGATAAGGGTCAAAATCGAATCGATAAATCGAATGCACACCCTTAGACTGTAGACACTTGTTAAATGAGTAATTACCTATTTGTGTAGATTAATATAACATACAGAATGTATATATATTCCGCTACTATTTTGAAAGCGGCTATACAATATTATTTTCCCTAATCTATACCCTTTCCTTTATCCTAAGTCCCTTACCCTATTATTTCCTCTACCACATTTAAGGAATGATCATATTTAAAGATCAAGGGAATGAAGTTCAAATTAATGGAAAACAGAATTAGTTGTGATGATGTGTTTTGTTTTGTTTGTTTTTTTTATACTGTTGGAGTGTTGTTGACATATATTATAAATGGTGTTCGTCTTATTTTAGCTTCTTTTTGTCCATATTAGTTAGGCGCGTTTATAGCGATATACTTTCCGTGGAATTCCGCAAATTTTCTTATTGGTGTAATCGATAACCGAATCGATAAGCCCCCAAAATCGATAAATCGAAATTGAAAAAATCGAAACTTTATTGAAACGATCAGCATGTCAAATAAATTAACAAATAAGTATAATATTAAATAAATTAACAAGCAAACTGAGTATAAATTCAATTGTGATCCCAAAACTGAGTATAAGATGCAAAAGCACAATTAAACTTTGTATATAGCACGCGATATATGTTACACCGACACAAAAGTTGTATGTTTTAAAACAACAAGCTCCAACACCTTAAAAATAGTAGCGGTGTAAAGCCAAACGTTCAAGCGTTGATTCCGGTTTGGGCCGGTTTATTGTCAGATCCAGTAGCCATGTTGGCAACGTGGAATTGTGCCACGTATTTGTAAGCTGCACCTCCTGGTGTCCTCGTCGGTGGCTCATTCAAATGGGCCGAGTTGCTACTTATCCACCTGCAATTTAATTGGTTAAGTTATAAATTGACAAAGCAAATTTTTGTGCAGTATCAATAGGTTTAATAATAATTATTTATTAATTTTATTGATTATTAATTAACATTTATTGTACAGATCTACTTATAATTAGATGTCATAATCATATAATACAACCCGTTAATGAATAGAATTTAAACACATCATGTACATATTTTTTTTAATAAATATAAACTTAAATAGCCACATACCCAAACGCTTAAACTTAAAATTACAACAACAACAACAAATCTAGTATGATCCCAACAGGTGGGGTCTGAGAGGGTAGTCTGTACGCAGACCTTACCCCTACCTAATGCAGGTAGATAGGTTGCAATAGACTCTCGGCTCAGGAAGGGCAAGAAGAAGAAGAGGAAAGCAAGTAAGGAAGAAAGAAGGAACAGAAAAGAAAAATGGAGAGATAAAGGATAAGTAGTACCAAATAATAGCAACGGGGAATACAATACCTGAGGCGAACAAAACCACATAATGTAATAAAAATCTAAGAATATGAAGGGACATGCATGCTATTAAGGCTATCGGTGAACAACTAAAAACTACCTACTAACCTTCTGCCTTAATCCTCGACCTCCACACCCTCCTATCAAGGGTCATGTCTCAGTGCGCTGAAGCAACGCCATGTCCTGTTTAATCACTTCTTCCAGTACTTCTTAGGCCTACCTCAACCTCTTCTCAAACTCTCCATGGCCAACCTCTCACATCTCCTGACAGGGGCATCAATGCTTCTTCTTTTAACATGTCCGAACCATCTCAGCCTCGACTCTCGCATCTTGTCCTCCACGGAGGCTACTCCCATTCTGTCACGGATAACTTCATTCTTAATCATGTCTCTCCTGGTACACCCACACATCCATCTCAACATTCTCATCTCTGCTACTTTCATCTTTTGCACGTGCGAGTTCTTGACTGGCCAACACTCAGCCAAATACAGCATAGCTGGTCGAACCACCACTCGATAAAACTTACCCTTAAATCTTGGCAGCACATTCTTATCACATAAAACACCGGAAGCGAGCCTGCACTTCATCAATCCCGCTCCGATGCGATGTGCGACGTCTTCGTCAATCTCCCCGTTACCCTGGATAATAGACTCGAGATAATTAAAACTTGCTCTCTTGGGGATTAACTTGAGCATCAAGCTTAACCTCTACGTTTGCATCATGGGTCCGTCACTGAACTTGTACCCCAAGTATTCTGCCTTGGTTCTACTCAGTTTGAAACCTTTAGACTCCAAGGTCTGTCTCCAAACCTCCAACCTCGCGCTAACTCCAGTTCGCGTCTCGTCAATCAACACTATATCATCGGCAAATAGCATGCACCAAGGCACTTCCCTTGGATGTGTCGCGACAGTACATCCATCAAGGCATATAAAAATGGGCTAAGAGCCGATCCCTAGTGCAACCCCATCCCACAGGGAAATGCTCCAAGTCACCACCCAGCGTCCTCACCCGAGTCTTAGTATCATCATTCCTATCCTTAGTCACCCTAATATCCTTAATCCTTAATCATCATAAACTTAAAATTGACAAAATAATATATATATATATATATATATATATATATATATATATATAATATTTAATATATACTAATTAAAAAATAAATATTTAATTTAATCGGCTATTTGGGTAAAGATTACTTTTTTTATGTAATTAAAACGCGTGCATAAGTAACAGGATAAAAGGTTATGACTTTCATCACAAATTATTATCTCCTTTCAATTTAAGTTATATACCTTTGACACAATGTAATTTATTTTATATTTATTTAGAATTATTATCTCCTTTCATGTATTCTAAGTGATATGATGATGTAATTTTTTTTTATATCGTCAGTTCATATAGAACTTATATCTCTTTTTTTACGTAGTTAAAAGAAGAAGCTAGAAAGGTTATTAAGATCTAAACGTGCAATATTACTGTTAATTGTGATCTTTTAATCACCGATAAAGAACAAGAAAAAGTTAATTACCATCCATTTTTCTTGATTAGTTTATCCAAACTATCTTCACTTTCCAGATCAATAAACTCCCCTGAGTTTGATCTTTCCTGCTCCATTTTAGCTGCCTCCTCAAATATAATATTTGCCTGTATCCAATTAAAACAGCTAAAAGTAGATATTAATTTCTAAAAAGACTATATTACTATGTTTTTTTTTTAACTAAAGTGAATATCACATTAATTACTATATAGTACCTGTTTTAGGCTTTGAGGGGATAGCATAGAAATATATCTCTGATGCTCTTCTTCTATTTGTTTCTTGGATCTCCAATATGCTTCAATCTCTTCCTTTGTTAATGACTTATTTTTCCGATATTTCACTAGAAAATCGGACAAAGAAAATAATCAATAACTACGGCTCAGTCCCAAATAATTTAAAATTAGCTATATGACTTATTTAAATTTAAATGCTGGATCCGAATATACTAACATAGAGGACTCCTAAACATATAGTAACATTTATAAAGCAAACAAAAATGAAGTAGAAAAGGGGCTAATTTTTCAGTTATGGAAATAAAGGGGCTTACTAGCTTGAGGATCAGAAACAGGAGAATCCCAACCTGCCATAAGAGAACCCATATCTGTTTGCTTGCTTATTTCTTAATTAAACCAATTATAGACAATTCACTCAAGTTGTACGTAAAATCTATTGAAAAACTCACTCTATTTATAGAGCAAGAAGAACACTGTCATAGGTTTATGGTGGGGCCTACCTTAAGTTGCTAATCTTATCTCTAACAAAACAAAAAAATATTATTTTATTATTGTTTTAGAATTAGATTGTGTGTTAAACCAGGGACTTGGGCATATGGTTTCTTTATAGTAGTAAATTAAGTGTTAATAGTGCCTGGAATATTTTAGCCGCCCATAGATATGCATGCAAGGTGACAATAGCTTATTGATGATGATAAAATATAAAAAAATGAAAATATCTTCTATCCATTATGGTATGTCCACTATGTTGTCACGTCAGATAATGTAATGCAACATCAATTCTTATCCTTTTGGGCCCGTTTGATTCTTGAACGATAGGACGGCCTAGTCAGTTTTCGGATTGGTAATTGAAAAATAATTGTCGTTTATAAAGTTATTATTACTATTTTACTGTAACACGGAAAGTTCCAGCATAATATACTAGAGATTGGAGCATCTATGTATGAACTTCCAGGATATTATGTTAGAACTCCAGCCAGGGGCGAATCCACTCCTTTGAGAAGGGGTGGCATGGCACCAGGTAAGATGATAAAAATTTTATATATCTATGTTGAGATTTTCTTAAATTAGGTTAATTATCTGATCCTGCCTCCCGCAACCGTAAACTAGACAAAGGTGTCATGGCTGGTAGACCGTTTTGAAAGCTTTTCTCGTGTGTAAAATTCAAGTTGAATTTATTTTGAACCTTGTATGACTTTCTCTTTTCTTTGTGCTTTTATTTCCTTGTGTCCCAATCATTTCCCTTTTCGGCTACCACCAAATTTTCTATTTGTCGTTTTATTAATTATTTTTTTTATATTTTTCTTTTCTCTATTCTATTATTTTGTATGTGATCTCTAGCAAGAACACTCAAAAAAGAGACTCCTAAACTTAATAAAAATAGTATAAAATAAGCAATCTGTTATGAAACAATAAAAGAAGAAGAAGAGTATTACAGAGAAAAGTAGAGAGAGAACTCTTATTGATTTGGGATGAATTACAATGGAATAGAACCCTCTATTTATAGGGAGAGGTTGACTTAGCCACCAAGTAATAAACCCTAGAATCTCTCTAAATATGGACATTCACCATAAATAGAATTCTATTTATAACACTCCCCCTGAATGTCTATTCAACAGATAATGTGCCTCGTTAAAACCTTAACTAAAAGAAAACCCAATGGGAAAAAAATTCTAGAAAAGGAAAAAGAGTACACATATCTAATAATACGCCTTTTGGTTGCCTCGTTAAAAACCTTGCAAGGAAAACCCAGTGGGACAAAACCTTGTAAGGGAAAAAGAGTACAACGCGTATTAACTCCCCCTGATGAGAGCATCAATTCACATCTTTAAGCATTTGCATTCCAATCTTGTGCACCATCTTCAAAAGATCTTTTGGTAGATATTTGATAAACAAATCAGCCATATTAACTTGAATGAATTTGTTTCACCTTGAAATCATCATCCCTAATAGATGTATTGTCTTCATTTGATCTTGTTGGAATCGTCAGTTCAATATCTTCACATAGAGGTGAAACTCTTGCTATCATATTATCCTGCCTATAGTTATAGCAAGATACATATGTGCACAAATTGCATTTAGAATATAGTACTTCATGACCATGAATTCTATACGCTTTAAGCAATTTAAATCCTTCAAGGATTTTTAAGTCATATAAGTCATATAATAGACTTTAGATGCATATCAAGTTTTCATGTCATGCTAGACATATAAGATATCGAAAGCTGATTGCACATATCATTGGCTTCATACTTTCAAGTGTTTGAACTGAAGGTCCAAAACTATATGTCTTTCGCATAAAACAAATTCTATTCGAATTGTGTCTCTTTCATTTGGCCAGTATTTTTGTGTCTATATTCGACATACTTAAGATCCTCATCTATACTTAGCGCTAATATAGATGTCGTCGACGAACATTTTATATCGGTTCCAGCTTTATTTTCATAAAGACATGACATAGAGATCTCTTCATTCATATTTTCAGGTACCTGAATCTCTCCTGAGATTTTATGAAGTGTTATGTCATGTGATCTTCTAGATCACTTGCCTCCTTATTATGATCATTTTGATCATTTGCTCATCTTCTATATTAAGAAGTTTATTTGAAACCGATTGTCTATACGCTTTAAGCTTACCATAGACTTTGTCCTTCTAGGACTTAATAGGAGCATTTACAATGAGAATATAGTTACTTTCTTTGGGTCAGCAAATGCGTCTGGCATGCTTTGCAATATATTGCAGATGAATTATCCTTTTATGAACTTCAAGCTCATATTATTTTATTCGAGGATCTAGATGTATAAATGATAATTTATTCCATGTAACTTTTTCTCAACTGTTTATCATGTCTCCCTCTCATGTTAGAAAATTGTTTCCTCAACTTTGAGAATCCACCTTTGTGCGTTATGGTGTTAATCAAAATATACATCGCACATCAATAATAATGAGATGGAATTTTTTGGTTTCTGACCCTGAAACCACTTGTGAGGGGAGAATGTAATATACTTCCATATATAACATATATCAAACTGATATAGATAACTTTGTTCTCATAAGCAATAGTTTAGCTATTAAGTGGAGGCACTCAATAATTCATTTTGCTAAACCAACTGTGATGTAAACCAACTTATCAAGATGAACTATCTTGAATAAAAAAGCTGGAAATTATGCTCTAAATCAAATTATTGAGCAAGTTACCTCGCAACACCATGTTGCGGGTTAATAATAATCGCACATGTAACCATCTCATAGATGCATCTTATGTGGCATACATGGCAGGTGAATGGGCCCATATTCACCTTTGATATTTCCAGCATTCATGGGATTCAATCCCAATTTTAATTGGTCTATTAATTAATGAGAACAAGCAACGTAAGAGAATTCGTAAAGAACTTTCTAGTTCTTTAATATTTACCCATATGAATTCTCTTTTATTTTTGCACATCATACTTGAATTAACATGGCTAAACCAATTATGCCAACTGGATAAATTATCAATATTGATAAACTTCAGGTTTACACCATGATGTGTGCAATTATAAATAAACTCCAAGTTTATTATGATATGGATTTTTATATCAATAAATATCCACTTCATTGTGGTATTCTTTTGTTTATGTAGTGCAAATTGGAGAATAAAGCGGGTAGCTTTCACATACATATTACCCCGCTACAAGTTGTAGTAATAGAAGATATTAAATCTTTCCTTTATTTATAGTCTCAATATAATCAACCGCTTTCGCGTATACTTTGGAAACTGAATAAGTTTCTTTGAGACTTACTACAACACAATACCTTATTGGTAATTAATTGTGTTTCTCCAAAATAGTATAATTGGCTCTTGCAGAGTTCTCAATTAATTTTGTAGTACCACATATTCATCAACACCCATATGGTGAATATCTCTTTTAAAGAGAAAGTTATACCATTATGGTTATGGTCAAAATTATATGCAAGATCTGTTTCTTGCATTACCGTTGTCTTTTAACAATCACAATGCCAAAATATTTTGGCGTACAATAGGTACGTGACCAATGACCATTCATGCCATAGTAATGACATTATTTTCTTATATCATCTCAAACCTCCTTTTAGAGGTGAGTGCGGTATATTCACTACCACTAGCACGTTCATATTCTTTGAAGAATCTCATAAATCAGATGTTGTCACATTCACATCATGAATGGACCATAATCATCTATATGTGCTTTATAAATTCTCATGTCAAATCGATGACAAATATTTTTCACAGAGTAAAGGATTATTTTGAGAATCCTTATTGTTTTTATTATCACAATGATGACGATTATAATTTCGTCTATTGCCACGTCCACATCCATTGATACCTTTACGGTAATAATTTTGTCTTCTCAGACTTATCACATATTGCTATCATATTCTCTTAAGGGAATTAGAATGGAGCAAATTCAATGGGACGGGTTTTCACTTCTTGTGCTCACGATCATACATGACTTTGATCATGGCAATACATAGAAATTTTACCACTTCGAGTGGTTATAATTTCTTACTAACTCCGTTAGAGTTATAATCAAAATTTATTTTCTTTGCTTGTATTTAAAATCAAATTATAGAATAAAAAAGAAAAATACGGTAAAATACATACCTTAAATTCAGAATTTAATCATGAAGAAAGTTCATGGAACAATTGACAATCATTATGCTCAATCCCAAAGCTTCTACTCAATTGGTTAGAGTCTGGTGCTGATAACGTGTAATGAAACAATAAATGAAGAAGAAGAGTATTACAGAGAAAAGTAGAGAGAGAACTCTTATTGATTTGGGATGAATTACAATGGAATAGAACCCTCTATTTATAGGGAGAGGTTGACTTAGCCACCAAGTAATAAACCCTAGAATCTCTCTAAATATGGACATTCACCATAAATAGAATTCTATTTATAACACAATCCTCTTAATTAAGTTTATGAGTTTTCTCCTTTCAAATGCAAAAAACTTGGGTCTTAATGAGAATTTTGGATTGAGATCAATTTTTTTTCATCTTTTTTATTATATCATAAAAATTTGTATTATGCGATGGTTGTTAGATATAATTTAAATCACTTTATATAATTTCGTAAGCATTGCTTAAAAAATATGTGATTTATGATAAATTGTGTTTATTTAATTTATGCTTATGGGGTATAATTTATCTATGAAAAATATTTTATTAAATTTTCTTCTTCTGATTGATGTATTTCTCTGTTTGAAGATGTTATCTTACTTGTGTAAATTAATTTTTAATATACAGAAAAGATGTAATTTTCCAGTGAAAATATTGATTTTACTTATGTATTTATAATAAAGGTGTGATCCTATTTTAAAATTCTAATCACGTTTGTTTTTTAAAATCTGAGATGTAATTTATAAATTTTCAAATAAAAAATACCTATTAGGTTGACCCAAATCAACTCAAAAAAATCGATTAAACGTTCC